TAGTTTGAAAATCACTAATTTCATCCAAATCCCTCATTTTTCAGGTGAGGAAACTGAAGTCCAGAGGGGTTTCTTGAACTGCCCAAGGACACATCACTATTTAGTGATACAGCCGGGACTAAAACTGAGGTCCCTGACTCCTGGTCCAGAATTCTTCCTACTATCCCACAAGGAACATACAAATAAAAGTTGATCATAATTTACTCACAAGACCTCCACAATGTGTTTGTCATAGTGAACTTTGTTGTGAAATACCTGCCTATGCTGACTCAGTTTAGCAGTGAAGAGCTGGGCTCTGGAGTTCAAATGCAGGCTCTCACATTTACCATGTGACCTTGGGCAAGTCGCATCACCTACCTACCTCAGTTCCCTCATCTTTAAAATGGAAATTAAAAATACTCTTCTTATAGTTTACATGAAATAATATCTATAAAGCACTTAGGACCCGCCTGTATATGGAAAGTTCTCAATTCATGATGATGATGATGATGATGATGATGAATAAGCAGAAGAATCATCATCCAAGAAAAAGTATAGCTTCTTGAAGACATATCGCAAAGTATTGTCAGTAAACATGTATATTCTCTAAGAAAGAATGGTATGATTAGTAGTAGTTGTCTTTTGAAGATTCAGAAACAAATATGAAAAAAAGTGAAATAGATAGGATTCAGTCATAAAACCTGTACAGCATTTAAAATAGCAAAAGTGCACTTCAAGATTTTAAAACAATTTATATTTGTATTGTACTTACAATTTATAAAGTACATTCACATATATTTCAACTTATTGTCCCATGAATTCAACAAACACGACATTTTTTCAACTATTACATATTCCAGATAGTATGCAATTTACATATTAATTACCCTTTTAAGATTCAATAACCACTAGGTGTTATTAGAGGCAGTAGTATAATACAAAAAAATAACCTGATATCTGTTCCAAAAACAACCTCATCAGTACCATCTATTAAGTAGGAATGATATGCTTGGATAAATAAATAAGATGCAGCAATTAGCATAACGAAAGGAACACCTCAAGTGCCCATGAAAATGTGGTTATCAGTAGTAAGGAATTGTTTTGAGTAGAGAATGTTATTGTAATCGGGTCAAGAAAGCACCATTACTGTGACTTCCAGTACTGTTGGTTAAAGAAAATAAATTTGGGTAATGGTGCCTATTATACTCTATGTGCTGTTTCACAAATTAAAATATACAACAATTTTTGCAGATCTAGGGTCAGTCTTTACTGGAGGTAGTAGGTAGAAAAGTTGAAACAAAACTACTTAAATATAAATATGTGTAACACAGGACAATTTATACAATTCTCATCTGAGGCCTCTGACTACCCTGTGAGGAGGTAAGATTAGGTACTATTTCCATTTCACTGATGAGAGGTAATTGAGGCTCAGAGAAGTAAACAGTTAAAATCACAAAGAGAAATTATAGCAGAAAAGGGCTAAAACCTAGGTTTTCAGAATTAGTTTTAAGAGCTCTTTTAAACCCATTCACAATGCATTTCAGAACATTAGTATCTTTTCCAGGTCCATTATTAAGTATCTTTGAAACTAGAGCAGGTGGCCACTGGCCAGTGTGGCTCAGTTGGTTAGGTGTTATCCCATGCACCAGGAGGTTGCTGGTTCAATTCCAGTCAAGGGCACATGCCCAGGTTGGGGGTTTTATCCAGCTGTGCAGGAGTGAAGGAGGCAGCTAACAGATATTGCACTCTCACATGATGTTTCTCTCTCTTCTCTCTCCCTCTTCTTTCTTCTCTCTAAAAATCAATAAGGTAATCTAAAAAAAAAAAAAAAAAAAAAAAAAAAAAAAAAGGAACTATAGAGAAGGTGATACTTATGTCACTACACCCAACACACCACATGAGTTACTTCATTTAACCATCAGAAAAATGAGGGCTCACACTAAGTGTGGCTCTCAAAATATTATATTCACTAATAGTATAAATTCAAATAATATAATAATGAATTTGGCTTACTATTTAAGTAAACTATAAGCAAAAATTTTCTTTAACATTCTAATACATAAAAAGCAGATTCTGACTGATTTCACTATTCAACCTCACTGTATAATAAAAACAGGTGTTATTTTCAACAACAATACTCAATCTTCTGATTTAACTGACATGGCCTAATTCTTTGCAGCCTCCCACACCAAAGAGCACTTTTTAGAGAAAACCAAAAATCAAGCTGCCCAAGTTTTAAGGAGAAAAGCAAATTATTTTAATTACCAGTGGCTTAAATGGACAGGTCACTTGCTAGTCTTATTCTAGATATCTCATCTATTATTTAAGCTCAATAAGCAATAACTTAGTCATTACTTAAAAGCAAATACCATTTCTAAGACTGCAATATACTTAATCCTCCTAAAAATACATATTACAATGTTCAACAAACTAAAACCATATCATTATGTGTTTCCAATTGGGGCATTTTTTACAGTAAAAGGAACTCTATTAATAACTATGCTGGGACAAATGGGCTCAAACATGACTGTCCCAGAAAAAGTGGGGTATAAATCACCCTATAAAGAGCAACTATTTTGAATTGTATGTAATGACTTAATCTCTGTATATGCTTAATTCATGAGCTTTAAGTTTTGTTCCAGATCTAATAATTATCTTCAACCTTGAAAGCAAGGTCACCATTTTACAGATATATCAGGGCAGAGTTAAGTTTTATTTCAAATAAACATCTGCTTGAAGAAAAAAACAGACCTCATATTTCAAAGAAAATAATCTTGCAAAATATCACTAACTTTCAAACTTATCTCTTTAAAAGTTCTGATTACTGATAAATTGATAACCAAACTACTTTAAAAAAAAAAAAAGTCACTGTCTTTCAAATGAAAAACACTTCAAGAATAAAAGTGTTGAAAAGTTTTCAGTAAAACTAAACAAAATGATAAAAGATAAGAGGAAACCATGATTAAAGGAAATTCTGGTTAGTATTGTTATGGCTTTCCAAATGAAACTGGCATTAGCTGTACAACCTATGAGACAAAAGAATGCTTTGTTTTAATTTGTCAAGCTGTAAATAACTACTAACAGACCCATGCTTTGAACTATAGTACTTTAATGAAAGGCATTATTTGAATATAATTATGATTCCCTAAGGCAGCGATTTTCAACCTTTTTCATCTCACGACACACATACACTAATTACTAAAATACTGTGGCACACCAAAAAATACATTGTATTTTTGCCGAACTGACAAAAAAGAGGTATAATTTTGATTCATTCACACCAGATAGCTATTATTGTGTTGGCTGTTGTCATTTTTTTATTTGACAATCTAAGGGAAAAAGAGGTCAGTGCCCTGACTAGTCAGGTATTGCATATTTTAAAAATTCTTGTGGCACACCTGTGTGCCTGCTGCAGCACACCGATTGAAAATCGCTGCCCTAAAGCAATAGTTATTCCAAGAGTTGGTTTCTCTTATTTAAACCCAATGGAATCACAAAGTGGAAGGGATCTGTCTAGATTCTTGACCTTATGCTACCCAATAAGGCAGCCACTCACCACATGTGGCTATTTGCATTTTAATTAATGCAAAATTAAAAATTCAGTTCCTCAGCACACCAGTCACATTGCCAGTGTGTAAGAGCCACGTGTGTCTAGTGGATACCACAGATTACAGATTATTTCCATCATGACAGAAAGTTCTATGGGGCAGTGATACTCTCCAGTGTTTCCCAAATTGTGGTACACGTACCTCAGGGGTACAGGAAGAGTTTGGTGGGGGTATGCGTTGCACCAGTTTGGTGGGGATATGCACTGCACCGTGCTTAGCTGCGCCTAACTCTACGTTCTCATGAATATGAGGGGTACTCAGCATTACGAAAATTATAGAAGGGGTACACATATATCAGAAGTTTGGGAAACACTGCTAGGCCAGGATGCTCTAGATCTTTGCTTGAACATCCCCAGGGGTAGAAGCTTGCAATAGCACAATAACACACGTCCTATTTTTTTGCAAGTACTGTCAGAAACTTTCCCTCACACTCAAGTCAAATCCAGCTTCTATGTAACCTCCACCGTACATCCCCCAAATTCTGTCTTTTTGGTCTTCAAGGAAACCTTTGCAGAGCTAACTCAGTTCCACTTAGAAAGGCTCTGCCCCTCACATATACTAAGTAAGATCCGAGGCCCTTCCCATCACATAGAGATACACTTTCCAACGAAACCGTTCAAAATTTCTGCCTGCCTCCCGGTGTTATACAAACTTACCCACGTGTGCATGAGTAATGTATGTTCAGGAAGGGGTCTTAGTGTCAGTATTACAACCCCACCCCATGGTTTGACAGACAAGTGTCCTGATTTATTTTTTTAATTTAAAAAAACAAGGCCACAGTCACTCTGAATCGCTGAAAACGTGGAGACCGAAATTAACCTGTAACTGACCAAGTCCCTGCTGCTGTTCCAAACATGTTACGAGCCACACAGAACTGTCCCATTTTACTGGCCCAAAGCACGCAGCCAAAGACAGGCTGCATGACTTCCCTGGGGGCCGCAGCTGTAGGTTCACCCCACCGGGAAGAGCTCGTCTTTTCTTTTTCTTTTTGTATGTTACACTTCTAACGCCGCCTAACTCTCCTTGCACCCCGCTCACAAAGCTAAGACTTCCTTCCCTAAGGATTCTTCCTCCCAAAACTCTGCCCAGGGGACGCCCGGAAGGTGCTTCTGATGCCCCAATACACCCGCTCCCCTCGCCCCACGCCCACCCGCCGGTGGGGAGGAGCCAAGAGCCAACTCCACACCCCGCGGGAGTACCGGCCCCACGCCGCCGGGCCGGCCTCTCCCGCTCCCCGCCGTGCCCCCGCCGGCCTCCCCTCACCCTCCACCCCCGGCGGCCGCCCTCGGGCTGAGGCCCCGGCCCCGGGCTCGAGCGCGGGGGGGCCCCCCCCAACCCCCCCACCCCACCCCCGGGTTCCCGGCCTCGCCCTCGCCCCCCACGCCCCGCCCCGCCCCCCACACCACCAACAACCTCTGCTTTAAGGACACTTGTCGGCACGGCTGCGCGTCCCGCGTGGAGAACGTGGGGATGCAGACGGTGCGGTTTCTGCGGCTGCGGCCGGGGACACGCCGGGAGAGGGGCGGGGTGGGGGGTGGGGGTGGGGTCGAGAGTGTAGAGAGGGGCAAAGTGGCTCCGCTGGAGCGGGGATCGCGGCGGGGATGGGGGCAGGAGCGTGAGTCCGACTCTCTCTGTGGGGGGTGGGTGGCGGGGGCCGAGGAAAGAGCCCCTACACAGACGCCCCCGCACAGGCGGCCCCCGGCGCTGGCGCTGGCGCATGCGCGCTCGGCCAGGTGGCGCGCGGTCTCTCCCCCACCACACCCCCGCGAGCCACTTCCGCCACGCTCTCTGGGGGCGGGGCGTCGTGGAGCGCGCGAGCTGCGCTCTCCCAGCGCAGTGGGCGTGGCCGCTGGGCGCGGGGCGGGCGACCTAGAACCTTGAGTCAGGCCTTACCGCGGGGGCTCCTGGGAGAGGGAGAGGAGTGGTTGGAGCCTAGAACCAAAGGGTGCTCACAGGCCAGGCGTGGATTCTGTAAGAGTGAAGCTGAGAGGAGGGAATCAGTGGCCGACTACTGGAAGTTTGTTTTCAAATTCAGGTTCTGAGATTGGCCCCTGTAACTTTGTCTTCAGGAAATGAGCCTGAGAGGGTTTTTAGAATGGTGAATGGAGACGAACAGATGAGAAAAGACCTGCCGCCCCCATAGTGCCTCCAGTGCCTAGCTAGGGTGGACTGGAACCCTCTCTGGGAACTGGAAACACCAGCTTCTTCTTCGCTGCACCACTGCCCTCCCGGCCCCTGCACAGTCGTTTAGAGAAAGATGGTCCACAATGAAGTCTTTCATTCTACTCATGTTACCAAACTCGGGCATTTAAGGACCCACATTTTTATTATTGAAAAAAAAATTTTTTTTCTGTATTTTTCCTTAATTTTGGCCTGTTCCTACTTATTTTAAGTCTCCCCACTATTAAACTGTACATCCTGTTCTCTCGCATTTGATTGCTACAGGTGTAGTTCTTTAAATGATAGGGTTGCAAGACAATGATTTTGGTTATTTTATTCTTGCTAGTTATATTAACATTCTTTTCAGCTGCTTAGGGAAGACGAATAACCATGCTTATGTCTTACTCGTATGATGTAAAGTAGTATAACACACCTCATAGAGATTCAACTAACCTTCAGGACTTTTTAAGCGTTACTGCTTCAGTTTTTTCTTGCCTATAAATATTGGTGTTCTGAAATAACCCCTTCTTTCCCTTATTTGCTTACAATGTTTAAAAATAGCAGTTTATTTGGTTATTTCCTCTGTGGATGTAATTGTGTGTAGTTGTGTTGTAGTAGCTGCCTAGTTTTTGTGTTTAGTTTACACTCATATACCTAACATTTCAATATTTGTTAAATACTTCAAGTTCCAAAAGAACCAATATATGTAGGATCTGGAAGCTCACTATAATGTATAAATCAGCTCAATTCAATGTTGGGAAAAGTGTAGAACATAAAGAAAAGTAACAGAATTGTAATTTTTTACAAAGGAAGACTGCTTTACTATACAATAGTTGAAAAGCCCTTTCAAATACATTACCAAGAAAATAGAAAATTAAGAGAAAAATTATTATATCTAAGAAAATATAACCCAAAGCAGATAATTTCATTTAAAATTATGTTCAATTGATGTTGCCATAGTAGTTCTTGCACAGGACTTCTACCTGTGTCACATGGAGGCCAGATTTGACCTACTTTGCCAGAATTGAATCTTCTTACTCTCAGGATTCTGGTGTCCAACCAACATATAATCACACACAACAGGAGTTAATGAAAGTGAGCCATGGAGAAAGGAAGCTGAGTTAAATAAGACTCTGGTTGAAAGAGCTAAAAAATTCACTCTTAGTAAATTGTGCTGTTGGCAGAGATCTTAGCTTTGAAGTCACATGTGGTATTCTAATGTTGCTACCTCCTGGAACCTATTAAAATTCATTTTCGAGATTTTGATTTAGCCATAACTTTGTAGTTTGTGAGCACTGCTGTACACAAAGGGTCAAAATATTTTCCATTAAAAACTAGTTTCCATTAGATTAATATCCAATATCCTAAACTATCAATGCTGCTAGTGTAGCGTAATCATAACAAAGCTGAAACAAGCTGTGGCTAAAATTAAGTCACTGAGGACTACCACCTCAGAAAACTATGTAATTTCCAAAGCATGTGGAGAAAAGACATCAGGAGAGCAAGTGAACTGATGACACCACAAGAATGTCTCCATCCCTTGAACAAAGCTGGTAAAGGAAAATGAAGCATTGTTACTGTAGACTTTTACATTTCCCTGATATAATAACCTTCACATGGATTCACTAGTGCAAAGAGAAAGTAAGCATACCTAAGTAAAAATGCCCCTTGGCATCTTAAAAGAATAGCCAGATTAGATAATAAAAGAAGCCCTAATTCTCCAAAGAATAGCAGAAGTCATGCCTAATATGGAACCATTCTTGTGATAAAGTGGTTTCTTCTCCTCATGTAAATGCCATAGGGATTTAACTCTTGTGACCCATGACTCTCATTAGGATACTTGTGGAGGCATTTTATTTTCTACATATCAATTATTTTACCCTTTTTTTATATTTGTCTTAGATTTACTAATATAATGCTTATATAGTAACCATGGCTAGAGCTGCATATTGTTTAGACTTGCACATTGCATTGCTGCTATATTCAGTTAATTTCCTGATATTAAGAACTATTTTTCTTACAATCTCAAAGGTGCCTTATTTTAGTTTCAACACAAAAAAGATTACTGAGTTCTGTAGTACCTGGATAAGTCACTTAACATCATTGGGCTTCAGTTTCCATATCTGTAAAATGAGATGATCAAACCAAATAACTTAAACCTTGCAGCCCTAACAGTCTGTGCTTCTTTAAAACAGGAATGACCAAAGTTGTACAGAATAATTTCAGCATTCATATTTGTGCTACCAAAAATACAGGGCTCTTGCTTTAGGCTGATTATCAGTGTTCAACTAATAGTACGCATTTCAAAAGAAATACCATGTAAAAAAAACTGTACTAATCAAATATACTGATACCTAGTAGGGTACATTACATAATTATTCAGAGTGTAATCAAATCCGCTGCTCATGCCCTGGCCAGTGTGCTCAGTGTCAAAGCATCTGCCCTTGCATGAAGGGTGGTAGGTTCCATTCTGGTCAAGGGCACATACCTGGGTTACAGGTTCAATCCCTGGCCCTGGTCCAGACATGTGTGGGAAGCAACCAATCAATGTGTCTCTCTCACATCAATGTTTTCCTCTCTCTCCCTCACTCCCCATTCCCTTTCACTCTCTAAAAAATTCAATGAAATAAATACCCTCATCCTCTGGTGAGAATTAAAAAGTAATAATTAGCTTGCCATACCTTCCAATTATATTTATATATTTCAAAGTAGGAAGAGCAAAACATGATGAGAGAAGAAATACAATACTGCCCTAGTCGGTTTGGCTCAGTGGATAGAGTGTCAGCCTGGGTACTAAAAGGTCCCAGGTTTGAGTCTGGCCAAGGGCACATGCCCAGGTTGTGGGCTCAATACCTCCAGAGGTGGGTGTGTAGGAGGCATCCAGTCGGTGGTTCTCTCTCATCATTGATGTTTCTATCTCTCTTTCTCTCTGAAATCAATTAAAAATGTATTTTTAAAAAAGAATTGCAGTACTGAGAACTATGATCATGATCCATCCTCTTAGGAACCCCTCATTGTAGGTTTAACACTCTGGGGTCTTTTAAAATTAGTGCTTAGCTGCTGGGAAAATGATAATGTTTTTGAGATTCAAAGTAAGAAAGGATCTTAGAATATCAAGGTTTCAAAAGGCCCTTAACTCTCTAGATACATGGAAACTTTGTTTTTCCCATTTCCATAAAATCCAATATTTTATACTTCTTATACCAGAAACAAACAACTTTTACTTCTCCCCCATACCCCCAAAGATAAGGTCTACTCACTGAGGATGAGTGAAGGGTGCTAATTATTTCATTCATTTAACAAATACTTATTGTAGGTCCACCATATGTCTGAGATCATTCTATGAGTTGCAGATATAGCAGTGAACCAAACAAAAATTCATGTCAGCATGAAACTCATATTCTAGTTGGAGAAGTTGGACAATAAACAAAATAAATACTTAAAATATATATGTGTAAAAGCCATTATGTATTGGGGGGGGGGGCGGGGGAATGATTCAATAGGGAGGGGATGTGGAATGAGATGAAGCACAGGAGGGGTAGAGGATTGTGGATTTTAAAAGAGGAAGGAGATATTAGAATAATGACTTAAAGAAGGTGAAGACAGGTGCAGATAGCTAAAGAAAGAACATCACAGGCAATGAAAATAACCCATGCCAAGGCCCAAAAGTGGGAAACAGGCCTAGTAAGTTGCAATAATGGCCAGGGGTCATGTTAGCTGAAGAAGAGTGACCCAGGAAGAAAAGAGTGGAATATAAGGTTATAAAGATATTAGGGGAAGCAGATGGCAGAAAACCTGTATGCTTGGGACTGGGAGGCTACTAGCAGAGGACTAACATGATTTTACTTCGGCTTTAAAATAACCTGTAGAGTTACAGGTCCTATTGCAGTTACTCAGCCAAGAGATTATGATAGCCTGTATGTGGCTTGTTAAAGTAGATGCCATAAGACATGGTTGGATTCTGGATACATTTTGAAAATCAGTACTACTTACTGACAGATCAGAATTGAGGTTCTTGAGAAAGAGAGGAATCAAGGAAGACTAAGTCTGAGAAACTGGAAAGATGAATTTTCCATGAACTGAGATGAGAAAGACTAAGGATGGAGTGTATTGGGTGGGTGTAAGAGATTAAGAATTCAGTTGTAGGCACCAATAAGTAAGTTCAGTGTTCATATTATCTGTAATGTTTTTGTCATGGTAAGTGGGTTCTTATAGAAATGAAGGAAAGCTAGGCCAGCATGGCTCAGTGGTTGAGTATTGACCTATGAACCAGGAGGTCACAGTTCAATTCCCAGTCAGGGAACATGCCTGGGTTGCCAGCTCAATCTCCAGTATAGAGTGTGCAGAAGACAGCTAATCAGTGATTCTCTCTCATCATTGATGTTTCTACCTCCTTCTTCCTTCCTCTCTGAAATCAGTAAAAATATTTTTTTAAAGAAATGAAGAAAAGTTTGTATTTGTAAACTTTTATAATAATCATTTAATTGTATTCCAATTCTGCTCCCAGACTAGAGGTCTATCTAGACCTGTATAACATAT